GCGCAGCCCTTTCCGCTGATGGAAAGCTACTAGTCACTGGTTCCGAAGACAAAAATGTGTACACATGGGACATTTACGCCATCCTCCAAGAGGCTGGTCTTGAAGACCTCCTTCGGCCTTCATCTGATGTAAAGCTTATGGTTCTTTAGTCAAGACTCAAAACTGCGCTAATATCACATTCGCAGATTATAGCTCAAGAGCCATTGATGGATGTGCGTGGTTTTTTTCTCAGATCTCAACCTTCCCAGTGGTTGTAACCTGGATATTCTATTTAGGCAGATGCTACGCAGGCCGTGGATGATGAACTTTGGCTAGGTTTTTTCAACGATGCCACAGGTGGTGCTAATGTGCGTCATCAGCGTTTTTAATCGGTTCCAGTGCTGACCTCTTGATCTCAGTCTTCTAGAACGTACGGTAACTATCACCGTTCCTCTTCCCGCCGTCCTCGCCCTCTCGCATCCTCTTTTGAGAGTGTCAATACGCTCTTCGGTCGCCTTTCGTCGCCTTTCCGCCGCCCTCACTCCAAGATTAATGGATCAACCAAACTCCAGCAATGCCCAAGGCGGGCCTCATTGTCTTCTGGACCTCGTATCGTCGATGTTGCTGCAGTGAAAGACAGAGAGGTATGGATTTCTTCGCGTACATTCCCTACCGCTGTGATTTAATTTCTGTTCAGGTTATATTCACTGCTCCCCCGTCGCCAGAAAAAGCACAGCAGCAAACCCAATCGCACGCTCAGGAATCATCCACGACACAGCCTGTTTCAGGTACTAATGCTACTACACCACATCCCAGATACCTACTACCTGTCCGATTATTGGCTCATCTTGTGCTTTTTCTCTGCTGCGCATCTCCTCAACACGCCGATGCCAATGCACAACCAACACAGCAGCAAGGTCAATCAACAGGTCAAGCCCAGCCCCAGGCGTCATCATTGCAGACTCAGTCTACTGCCGCTTCGACATCTACGACGCCTGCTCCTGCGACTAGTCCTACCACACCAAGTGCAGCAAGCGCATAGCCACTGAGCCCCTTCTATGGCGGACTCATTTCGTAATCTTTTCTGCTGTGCAATTCCCCCACACCCCGATGATCATTAATACAGGCACACAACTACTTCATATTTGCTTCTAGTTCTTCAGTACTCATCTCTTCATATCATTTGGCAATTACGTGCATCAATCTCGTTTCCTCGCCATGAGACTCGTGCAATGTATCGAACTCGACAATACCAACCATTGCAAGAGGAACATTCTAAGATCAACTAAGGCGATGACTAGCACGCGCACGGATGATGCTTTGTTTTTCTATGCAACCCATTCTCCGCCCAGATCTTCGTTTCGCAACTCAATCTCGTCACCTAACTAGGAGAATAGTCAACGCAATGAATCTTTTGCAAGAAAATCTCATCGAAGCCAGTATGTTATCATTTCTACTATTTTGATCGACATAGTTAATCCAATGAGAGTAGTGTGCCATGCGTGAAAAATCTCTGATAGTGACGTATCGCGGTGATCAACTGAGAAAGAAAGCCTCATCGAAAACAAGCGACAGCGTTGATATGAAGCTCTACTGAATGAGTACTGAATCCTGCAAGCAAACTGTCTCAACCCCACCGTTTCATTACCGCTTCTGCTCGCAAGAGTCTTGCCATTTGGAGACAATGCCATGCTTCTCAGTGATTCCCTATCTTCCTCATCCTGCCACTCGTCACCAATCTGTGCACCACTCTCCAGGTCCATAGTCGCAGTAAGCTATCTCACGAACATGCAATGATGTTTCCAGCTTGTTGAGCCTCAAGCACTGTTCCGTCTGTCTTTTGCTTCCCCGTCGTCTTCAATGAATGCTGTATACGGTAGCCTGGTCATGGTGTTGTAAACTCTTTATTTAGATGGGTATTATGGAACGCGACGTATTCAGGGTCGAGGCGGGGAAGAATGTCGGGGTGGATGGTGGAGGGAAGGTCTGACATGGTGCTGGTGGGGCTCAGGATAATCAAGCAAGGTAGTTCCGTAAAGCCGGTACTTGAATATCGTAAAAGAAATAAGTTCAGAGATAGACGCTGTCCTATAACCTCCAAACGTGCTGGAAGGGTTGATGGAACCGAGTTGCAACATAGACGGGATGAGACATGCAGAGGTAGGGAGGGAGTGCAGCACCTTGTCGAATGTGTGCCACAACCAGCGATGTAGTCCTTACATATAGACACAGCACCGGTTGCAGAGCCGAGCGCTGAGTATTTTGATCTACACAGCAATAAGCTGTGTGAAGCAAACACGAGGATTACACATGGAATGAACCTTAAAAGGCGATGTGAACGAACGGACGCTCAACTTCCTCAACTCCCAACTATACACGCTCTGATCGAGGGATCGTCTAAATGGTGTAGCTCTCAAGTGATACTGTAAGCTTTTGCGGCAGGAAACAACTGACGAGATGCTTACCAGTAATTTTGGATTCTCACAAAGATCTCTTGCACGTTCTAATTTCTCAAATAACGACGCAACACAGATTTTTGGATAAGCAGGGGACCTGTAAGTGGACTGTCTTATTGGCAATCACTTGTGCGCTCTGACAAGAAGTAGGGTGACAAAGACAGGACTCACCAGCAATTATTGCTGTTGCCGGATAACCCTATCTGATTCCAAGATCCCGCCTCTCTCGCATACATAGTCCCCAATCTGCCATAATCGAGATACCGAGCGCTGATAATGTCTTCCTCCAGTAAGACACGAGCGATCATGCCATGTCAGACGCTGCGAGGTCATACCAGCTGGGTAAACGGCGTTGTACATCTGCATGCCGGACGACAGATCATCACATGTTCAACGGACAACTCACTGCGACTATGGGACCTAGAGAGCGGTACACAGATAGGAGAGAACTGGCAAGATAAGGAGGATGAGGCAGGAGTGTGGTCCATGGCATTGTCTCCAAATGGCAAGACAATTGCAAGTGGATGCAATGACTCGAAAGTGAGGTTATGGGACGTCGAGACGAGGAAAGTGATTGCTAAATGGTCAGGACACACTAATGTTGTAGGTGCATTGTGTTGGAGTGTAGACGGTAGCCAAGTGCTGAGTGGATCCTGGGATGGGTGGGCAAGAGTCTGGGATGTCGAGAGCGGCCGAACTGTCCTGACAATCAAAACCGGGCACGATTGGGTGAACGCGGTGATCTACTCGCCTGATGGAGCGAAAATTGCAACCGGTGGAGACGACGAGGATGCAGTCAAAAATTGGGATGCCAAGACGGGCGAGCTGGTGAACACGATCAAACATGACTCCATAGTTCGGAGCTTGGCATGGACGTCTTATCTCCGGATCATATGACCCAATGAGGATATATGACACAACCACTTGGCAGGAGATCGCTCATCTGGGAAGTGACAGACTCTGGGCCAACGCCATCACGTTAACGTCTCGGAACGACCGCCTTCTATGTACAACAGATCATAAAACAGTACGTCTATGGAATCTTGACACAAACCTCGAAGTCGGTCCACCCCTCCGACACGAATATGAAGTAAACTGCGCAGCCTTTTCCGTTGATGGAAAGCTGCTAGTCACTGGCTGCAAAAACAACAATGTGTACACCTGGGACATTTACGCCATCCTGAAAGAAACTGGTCTTGAAGACCTCCTTCGGCCTTCATCTGATGTAAAGCTTATGGTTCTTTAGTCAAAACTGCGCTAATATCACATTCGCAGGTTACAGCTCGAAAGTCGGTGATGAACGTGTGTGACGTGTTCCTTGGTCTTTTCAATCAATATAAGATAGTCACTCTAGAGCAATGCTACTCGACGTCCACCTATTCAGGCCCGTCGAATACCACCAGCCTTTTTCGATGGCGTGCAAAATGGTACCCAGGCGAGTTGTCTGCTCTTTTTAATCAGTTCTGTTCTGACTGTATGTACCCTCAGTCCTCAGCAGCACGTGGTACCTATCGTTCTCCCGCTCGCAGCACTCGAGCGCCCTTTTTCGAACGCTTTTCATCCCTCTTCCACCATTCGCACATCAATGCCGATGAAGCAACCGGACTCCAGCAACGCTCAAGGTGGTCCATCTTTTCTCGTGGTCCTCGTGTGGTCGAAGTTGCTGCAGTTATAGACAGAGAGGTATACATCTCTTTGTGTGCATTTCCCATTGTCGTTGTCTAATGATTTCTGTTCAGGTTATATTCACTGCTCCCCCGCCGCCAGAAAAAACGCAGCAGCAAAACCAATCGCACGCCCAAGAATCATCTACGACACAACCTGCTCCAGGTACTAATCCTACTGCACCACGTCCAAGATACCCACTACCCGTCCGATTATTGGCTCATCTCGTGCTTTTTCTCTGCTGCGCATCACCTCAGCACGCTAGCCAACCACAATACCAAGTCCATGCCCAGGTGTCATCATTACAGACTCAGTCTACTGCCGCCTCGACATCTGCTCCGGCGACTATTCCTACCACGCTAAGCGCAGCAAGCGCGTAGCCACGGCCCCTTCTATGGCAGACTCATTTCGTTTTCTTTTCTACTGTGAAACTCCTCCACACGCCAATGGACATTAATACTGGTATACTATTTCATGTTTGCTTCTAGTTCTTCAGTGGTCCAATCTCTTCATATCATTTGGCAACTACGTACATCAATCATGATTCCTCATCATGAGACTCGTGTAATGTATCGAACTCGACAATGTCAACCGTTGCAAGTGGAACTTTTTTCGAAAATTCAGTTTTATTGTCCTTTAGGGTCTGTGACCCTATGTCGGACTCGAGTGCGGGGTGCTTACTCTCGGCTTTCTATCGCAAGGTAAGAGAAACATTAAGACGATGACTACCACAGATGTCCTACACAACCCATTCTCCGTCCATATCTTCATTTCGCAACCCAATCTCGTCACCTAACTAGGAGAATAGTCAACGCAGCGACGATTCGCCAAGAGAATCTCATCAAAGGCAGCACGCTTTTGCTACCCATCGTCATCAATGAATGTTGTATACGGTAGCCTAGTGATGCCGCCGGAAATTCTTTATTTTAACCTAATGCGCATCTGCCTCGAATCATGCCCATAGTAACACCTTATCGGTCCCCTCTGGCACGCTAACTTCGATATGCTACATCCCTTGCCTTGATGGCCTCATTATATCGCTGTCTCCAACTTTCAGTGCAGCGTTCATCCCAAGAATCTGACGCGGTGCTCTTGGCTCTTGGGTAAACCTTCACCTCTGGATCGTCTCCAAGGGACTCCGATTCCACGCCATGCGTGATTGCTTAACTGCATAATATAGTTCACAGACACGTACGCTTGGCAAACAAACCATCTTTCCGAAAGACAATCACAAGGCTGTCTTATAACATGACTGCGGCCCTTGCATGTCTTCGCATTCAATTTAATCGTACACAATTCACCACTACTCTCTGTAACATCCATATCAATACCTATGCCGCTTTGAAAGCATCTCCAACAGCCTTGATCGCGTCGTCAGCCTGCTGCTTCCCAACTTTCACCGCAGCATCCATCCCAAGAATCTGATGCGGTGCTCCTGGGTAAACCTTTGCCTCTACCTTCACCCCAAGCGACTTCAACTTCTCGCCATACGCAAGCCCTTCATCCCGCAGAATATCAAGTTCGCAGACGCTAACGAATGCAGGCGGGACCTTGGCAAGCAAAGCATCCGATGCGAAGATAGGCGAGTTGTCTGGTTCTGCCCAGGTCGCAGGGTCAGGAAGGTACATGTTGCGGAACCACATCATCCGCCCTTCGCACAGCCAAACGGTGTTCTGGCACTCTTTCCAAGACGGGTATCTCTCGTCAGTGACGGATGCCGTATTGTCAGTCACTGCAAGCTGGTGAGGGAGACGGACATGTGCAGTGCTCTATGCTTACCAGGCACAATCAATAACTGGAAGATGATGGGGATGGGAGGCGTGAGTTCCTGCGCCTTGAGACATGCAATTGCAGCTAAGTTGCCGCCGCTGACAAAAGTCATGTTTCATCATGGATTCATACGGGATGGGACGGTACGCACCTGGACGACCCTCCAACCGCGATTTTGTTCACGTTCGCATTGAACTCTGCCTTCCCGTTGTAATAAATGAATTTCAACGCATCGACCGTGTCCTCGACCGCTGCAGGATATGGGTTCTCAGGAGCCAAGCGATAGTCCAGGGCCACCGAGACGCAGTTGTTCTCTTAAACACAATTAGTAAGCTCCAGTCCGACAACGGTCTCACTGTCCGACCTCACCTTTGCATTGGCGGGATATGAACGAGTTCAAAGTATCGATACTCCCAAGCGTCCATCCACCTTGGGATTCTCAGCTGAAATCTGCTGAATAATCATAGACCGTTACCTCCATGGATATATAACAACACCGGCCACCCTTCTGGAGGAGGGGTTCCTTCAGGTATGAAAGCCCGAATCTTGCAGTTCTGCAGACTGATATCTTTGACAGCCCCGACTGTCCTAATAGGCGAGCCACCTGGGAGGAGAGGGCCCTTCCTGATATCCGGATGCCAGGGGATCGTGTGCGGGGGCACGCGGTGCGCTAGATGGATATTATGGAACGCGACGTATTCAGGGTCGAGGCGGGGAAGAATGTCAGGGTGGATGGCGGAGGGAAGGTCTGACATGGTGCTGGTGGGGCTCAGGATAATCAAGCAAGGTAGTTCCGTAAAGCCAGTACTTGAATAGCGCATTCGCATTATAATCTGTGACGACACTCATGACGAGGACACATGACCTGAGTTATAATTGGCCAAGATAAGAGTTCCTAGGTGGGAATTAGAGATACACCAAAGGTCTACTCGCATTTGATCTTGTTTACTAACCATCGGAAGACCGTTCCTTCTTTATGGACTTTCGGTCACATGTCGCAGCTCGAGAGCATGATTGATTAGGTTGCCACCTAAGTAAGATCAAATTACAGAAAATCGGAAGTTTGTAAAACCGGCATTCATGTTCCCTCACGAAAAGCAGTCGAAGCAAAAGAGGACTGATGACTTGATTCCGATTTTGTCGCCAAGTCAAACTTGACAGAACGTTGGTCCAGGTCGTCTTCCAAGACAGACTTCGCCATCACAACTGCGTTGATGCGGTATAGGAGCATATCACTTCTCGTGTATGATTCATGAGTGGAAGAGAGGAAAGAGGTATTTTCTACAAGTTACAATGTTGTCTGTTGCACATGAGTCATCAGTGCCGTCGTTGAGGTTAATAAAGATGTGAGCGGATTACCCGAAAGCTACAATCAATAGACGGATGATGATGAGGGGGGCGAAGAATTTCAGGAGGCTAGAAAGCTTGCCAATCTGTGCGGAATTTTTTTCCAAAGATCACTGCAGGTGTTTTGCAGGGTGCTTACCGGCCGGTTGAGCAAGATAGCGAAGAACATAGCATCCACTGCACCTGAACACAATACATTATTTTTCAATTAACCTACACCAGGAATTTCCAAGCCAGCTGCCTTAGCGACTCGAATAATATTCTCAGCCTAGCCAATGTATAAGACACTTTACTGAATAAGAAACCGTACGGACCCACCTGCTTCAACATCGGAGCGTCGATCATCTCCTTACCACCTCCCTCCATCTCTAGGCCAAAGGCGCCCTTTTGAGATGAATGTGCTACTTCCATCTGGTGGAGAATCTTTGCGGCACGAAGAATTTCTACGCGAGGACGTTGGTCACAGTAAAATTTGGATGGAGATGACGCACCCTTCTCCGTAGGAACAAATGTCGAATGAATGGTATCAACTTGTGTGGGGTGGATAGCTTGCTAGAAACGACAGTCATATTCAGTATGTGTCGCACTTCAAATCAAGACAGTAATTACCTTCCCATTGAAACCAAGCCTCCGGCCATCTTCGCATTCGTCTTTTAGATAATTAAGGTCTTTGTAGTTGACACAGACCTGTGATGCTCGACTTCAGGGGAATCATTTCAGACATAGCAGTGGAATATACGGACCATATCTATGGCATCCAATCCGAAAGCCTTGGCAGCAGTTGCAATCTGGGAACGTACATATAGAAGCTCAAGCCTCGAAGGCGTCCGCACCACCGAAGTATCAGCACAATCTGTATCCAAATAAGCTTTCCGCTTGTGCCCGAGTAGAGAAGCACTATACAGTCTTCTGCTGCAAACTACAGACATATTCCATCAACTAACTAGGAACACTGATAAAGAAGAAACATACGAGTAGAGCGCCCAACTTCCCACCAACATCTGGGCCATACTCCGAAGCCCAAGAAGCAATCTCTCCAAGATTCCACGCGCTACGGGCGCTTTCGACACTCGCAATGATTTGTATGGGGAATGGCGTGGAAGTTCTGGCCCGTGAATTTCGAACGGCTCGCGAGACATGATGAAGGTCGCGGGCGGAGTGGATCTTGGGCAGCACGAGTGTTCGGACGAAGGGTGACTTGAGCTGGATGACAGGCAAAACTTGAGTAAGATACGGATTATGGGGATATAGAACGCCTACGATTTCGGATATATCGTGCTCAAAAAAGGGCGTAGTAATGTCATTTAGGCGGACAGCGATACGCTCGGGGTGTGGAAGCTTGTGCTCTGGTGTGCGCTATCCAAGTTTCAGGCTCAAGATACGGAGAATACGAATGTGCCCACGTACGCTTAAGAACGTACTCAGCCGTTGTCTTGAACTGTCTTTGTCGTGAGGAGAAGGCGGTACGCTGTCCTCGAGGTCGTATATGATGATGTCGGATGGTGTGCTCAAAGACTTGTCCAGCATCCGGTCAGACGACGAGGGTACTGGTCGTCGTTCAGCTTGAAAACTAGGTCAGACCTGCACATCTATAGCATACCGTAGAGATATGACCGACGAAGCGCCTGGTCAGTTTTGCCATTGCCAGCAGTACTCAGTGTACGCATGCACATAGAGCCATATCTCCGAGCCAGGCTCCCGCACACGGCTATACGCGTAGGTGATGCTAGTTGCATTAACAGCATCGACATCGCCGTGTTCTAAGGCCTACTACAACCGCCTATTTGATGTTGGAGGTATCGCTTGAGTAAAGTTCAACTTTAATGATCGGGGAGTATTACAGCCTGACTCTGAGTATACGCTCGCATAAGCGGTCTCACTTACCTGTCACGTGAACCCTTTTGACTTAAGCCTGAGAGTGTCAGATCTCGCTCAGTGCGTCCCATGAATGCGACTCAGGCAAAAGACAGGCTATATAGCCAACTCGCAACTAGTCTGAAGAACATGTCACGCGCTGTCGGGCAGACAGCAGATCTCTTTGAACAACTTCAGACAGACTTGGACGCCATGAGAGTTCTGGCTGGTACACATGCTGCACAGTAAGTCCTGATTTTGAGCTGTACATCTTGATTGATGAGGCTTATCATGTCTACTTAGGTTCATGACTGTTGCTGCGGAACTCAGCCCTGAGGCTGATGGAGGAGCAAACGCAGAAGCAACTGTGGTAGGTAGCGCATCACTGGAAAATTTTGTTATTGAGAAAACCCTATAGTAAATTATCTTGCGACTTGAGGTCACTCGGGGATCAGAGACATCCAAAGACATTTGAGTCCGTTGCATGTAGACCAGTTACTCGAGCATGTCAATCTCATACTGTCGATGTCTAGCAATGATTTCAATACCAGCCTTGCGAGGGGCATGTTTTCTAAAACGCGATTGTATTGGCTGGGTAAGAACAGAAATACTCGACTAAGCTTTCCTTTTCTTTGTGAGGTTGGGGAATCCCGGCCGCTGGCAATCTCCTCTATGAGATGCGTGTCTATACGGATTCTGTGCAAGGAATCAGCCATTAAACTATGCAGAAACAAGCGAAACTCACGCTGCAGAACATTGTTGAGCTTGTTGACACGCGACGAGACACTGAGGTCAATGCTCTTGTCGCCGAAGTCCACTACAATACCGCCGAGGACTGACGGGTTCACCTAAAACTCGTTAAAACTGACTTGAAAAAAAGGTTATGAACAAAATTCAAGTACCTTGTTCGAGATTTTCAGCGACTTTGCCTGCTGAGCTGTCTGAGACTGCTTGAGGATAGTCTCCAACCGGGAGGACAAATCCCTGGGTAGAGGAGTAGCAGACGTGACAACAACTTCCAGTTCTCCCTTGTACTTTGCAACCAGCTCATTGAACCCCTCGATAACACCTTGCGTCTCTCCAAGTCTGCCATTCTCCGACAGGACACCGAACAAGTTTTTTGTTATGTCGGAGACAGGTTCCTTCTTAGAGCCTTCTGCGCGAGAATATATGACAGCGAGGCCCGCAGAGCGATCCTTGGCGGATAGCGTTGGGTTGTTGACGAATGCTTTGAGGTCGGGCACCTCCTTGATGACATTGGAGATGGCGTTCAATTCCGACTGAACCTTGGTGAGCGTTTGCGGTGATTTCGAAAGAGCAGCCGAATAAACAGCTTTGGAGTACTTTTGAGCAATGGTAGAAGCTGCTCGCCGTCCCAGACCCAGGGAGGCGGTTGCTGAGCGGAACGAGGAGCACAACATGGTAGGTGTTGGTGATGTGTTTCTCCGAGGTTGTAAGTATCGGGAAAGTGCGGGCTTTGAAATGAAAAGCTCAACCCGGCGTCTCCGCGATCAAAGGGTTACTACAGAGGAAATACTGAAGGTGTCGAGAACACTTTCAATGCATAGCCTAAATTATTCTCATTCTAAAGCTAACTTATATTCGTAAGTTCGGAAGGAATTGGTTGAGAGTGAGGGTGGGTCAGCGGTATGGTGGGAATGCACGAAGTCGATAGCGTGTGCAGACCACAAGCCAAGTGATCCTGGGCAATACACCCACAACTCCGATGCAAAATTACTACTATCGAGCACATACGAATCATGATATGGGGAATACCAAATATAGTTCAGCATGGACCACTACCGAAAGGGAGCACGTCATGAAGCAGCTGCCCCCGACGAACCAACCGCTTTTGCATTGGGCAACTTCTTATCACCAGTAGTCAGCTGCTCTAAATCTGCAGCCTTGAAGTAATGAGGAGCGACTGAAAGGTGTCATTAACATTGTGGGGGAGACAACTTGAATGATAGTACTTGCCTTCCATTAGCCATGACGGCTTGATTTCCATGATTTGTCTGATGGGGAGCAAAGCGATTAGATGCATATGGTTTGTCGGAAAAAGGACTTGCCTCATGTATGATTTTGAGGTCATGACAAGCTCATAATATAGCACCGTTTTGACGGGCGGTTGGTGTTGGAAAAGACTTGACGAGGGGTGGATATATACAGTGTGATGCGTCTTCAGCGTCCGGTAAGAGTCGCCACTCTTCTGGAGTTGGGCCTGAGAATGTTGCATGAGCATACTTGCACGCGTCGAATCATTCGACTTACAGTATTGTAAAAGTACCCCGAGGTGATAGCTTTCTGCACAGGGCTGACATCGTTTGCGTTCGGATTACTCTGAATAACAACTTCGACACGTTCGCAAAGCCCAGCAAGTTGATCCCGAATATCCCGCGCCCGACTAAGACTCTTGAACTGCAAGAATTGCTCGTAGCAGAACTGTTGCGAATAATTCGTATCGGCCCATTGCTCCCAGACGTTGAGCAATGTGAAGTGATCTCCTCCTGTGCGAACGAAATTTTGACGTGCTTGGTCTGCATGCATCTTTTTATCTTTGGGACGATAAAACAACGATGAGGATTCCGACAGCATCGCTATAATGGTCAGTACCTGGTGACGTGATAGCGTTAGCATCAACATGTTATTTCAAGATAAAGAAGCCCGTACCTCGTCAGTACATGAGTACTTCTCGCTAGAAATGATGGCTTTAGATAACATAGGATCAACAGGGAACTCTGCCATCCGTCGACCCAGTTTCGTCAGCTCCCCACGATCGTTCAATGACCCCAGAGCATAGAGCAGTTCTAGTGCCCTGATAAGCGTCTCTCCCGGAGGTGGGTCCATAAACTCAAAGTCCATGAAGTTGTTAATCCCGAGTGATTTCAGCAACAGGACAGTCATTCCAAGGTTCGTCCGCTGAATTTCAGGTACGGTATTCTCCTCGAGCTCGTTTGAAAACGCCCATTTCGTGTATAGCCGGAAGGCTTTGCCAGGCCCCACCCGACCTGCACGGCCTGCTCTTTGGTTGGCTGATGCACGAGAACACTGGGATGTACAGTGAAATGAGTTGTAAGCACAAAGCAGCGTCATTACTTACCGGAACCACGATCAAGGAAGACATGCCAGTACGAGGATTATACGAGTTTTGCTTGACAAACCCAGGGTCGATAACGAAGACAACACCTTCGATAGTGATTGACGTCTCTGCGATGTTTGTAGCGAGCACGACCTTCCTTGCGCCATCCGGCGTTGGTTCAAAGATCTTGGCTTGCATATCGCTGGGCAAGTTGGCGTAAATTGGACATATGATTAACTCGGCGATCTTGTTCCCGAGCGCCCGAGCCGTCTCCTGCAGATTTTCTTGAGCTGCTTCAATTTCGTCTTGGCCCTGCAGAAGAGTGAGCATATGGACGATGCAGTAATGAGGATCTGGCACGCACCGTAAAGAACACAAGGATGTCACCTTTGGGCTGTGTTGTATGGATCTGGAAGACGGTAGTGATGGCTGCGTGCAGGTAATTGGCCTCTGGCTGTGGCGTGTAATGAATGTCGACCGGGTATCGACGCCCAGGGACTGCGAAAAACATTAGTATTACATTTGTCATCTGCAAACCATAGCTACCCACCATAAAATACCGGTGCATTGTCAAAGTACTCGCTGAACTTCTCAGCATCCATGGTCGCGCTTGAGATCAACAATCTCAGCTCAGGCCTGAATCTTGCAATATCCTAACAAACAGAGCCCCTCAGAACCTAAAGCAAACCGTGAGAAGTAGCACCACACACCTTGACGAGAGCAAAAAGAATATCCGTACTCAGAGTCCGCTCGTGTGCCTCGTCAATAATCAGTGCTGCATATCCGGCTAAGTCTGGTTCAGTCAGGAACTCTCGAAGGAGCATTCCGTCCGTCATGTACTTGAGCACTGTCTTGTCGCTCGTGCAGTCCTCAAATCGGATGGAATAGCCTACTTCGTACCCAACTTTGGTACCCATCTCCTCAGCGACGCGTGCCGCTACGGACATTGCAGCCACACGACGAGGCTGTGTGCAACCCACTTTCTGTCCGTTGGCTGTGTACCCGGCTTCGTGCAGGTACTGCGGAAGTTGAGTTGTCTTGCCTGAGCCGGTCTCGGCGACGACAATAAGCACCTGGTGCTCCTTAATGGCCTCCAGCAGTTGTTCTCGGTATGTGTATATTGGCAGAGATTTGCGAGTTTCATCGATGGTTTGCGCTGGATTAAAGCCGTCAGATGCCATTGCCAGATAGTGAATTTATGTACTAACCTCGTTTTTCAGCCTCTTGAATTTGTTGGTGCAAGATCTTGTCCTTGGCACTCATCATTCCCTCCCCCTTGAGCGTCTGGTCCATGACGAACTTAATGGTCTGGCTCTCATCAAACACGTACTCGTAATCGTCGGGGACCTCCCTTTTGTCCATAGCGCCCGTCCGAAATGTGCTGTGCAGCGTTTGACTAGCCTCCCACTGGTCGACATCTGTGACAAACTGGTCATCCTTGGGCTTGGCCTCTTCGTATCGCTTGTAAAGTGCATTCTGCTTTTTCTCCTTGTCGATTTTGCCCTGCTCCGTAATGTAGTCTTCAGGTAGCATGTAACCATCCCACTTGTCGTTGATCTTGAGACGCTCCTCGACAAGCCGCAGAATCTCTTTCTTGCGTTCCAAGTCCTCCTGCTCCTGCTTCGTGACCTTCATTCCATGGAAATAGGCCTCCTCGTCCGCGATCTCCTTCCTCAGGAGCTCAATCTGCTGTACCTCACGTTTGGTTAGGTATTCCTGCCGAGAGTGTAACCGCAGTGAAGGAAGTGCATGCGTCCGCGCTTCAGCGTCATCTGCCAGTTGTCGACGTTGTGCAGCCTCGGCCGCCGCACCTGCATTACGAGAGGAGCGATCCTCGACGACCTTTTTTGTCTTTTCCCGATCTTTTTCACGCACCCGCTCAGCAAACGCATCTCGTTCCTTCATGTCCTGTATTCTATCTCGTTCTTTTCTTTCATCCTCATCCTCTGGAATGTCCATTGCCTCTTCATCCGCATTGGTTTCAACATCGTCTGGTTTCCGTCGCTTCCGATACTTCTCTTCCTCATCGCTTTCCCACTCTCTGCTATCGTGCTCTCTCTTCCTCAGATGTCGGTCACGCTTCTCCTTACCGCTTCCTCTGTCCTCCTTGTGCTTCTCCTTGCTGCTACCTTCCTCCTTCCGCTTCCCCTTCAACTCCGAAACATCAGGGGTAGCCTCATCTTCAAGCAAAAACTCAAACCTGCGGGCATTCAGTGCCTTTGCCTCCTTCTCAGCTTGCTTCCGGGTATGGTCTGCTGAAGACTTGTGTTTGCTTTTCCTGGGGACGCGAGAGAAGAGCTCGTTGACGAATACATGTGCGTCGGGTGTGTTTGGAAGGCCGGAAGCGGTGAGAGAGGAGAAGAGAGCGTCTGGCGTTTTTGATGTCGATGCTAGAAGACAACATTTGAGTAGTGACAAGTGGAAACATATGGAATGGTCATACCCGAAGCCTGTACGAAGTCGATGATACTCCGGTCTGCAAGACCAAAAAGCTGTAAAATGATCTTAGGTGAGGTGTATAAGACAGGAGGAACGGACGTTACCCTAACACAGTTATCGCTGATGAAACGGTGAAGGTCGCTCGACATAAGGCTCTAGATGTGACAAGGTTTAGCTGTGACATATATGAAGTCACGACAATGTCACACTACTAAATATGTCAATTCGTGCTTAAACGCTTTCGCCACAAAAATACCAAATTTGGTATCTCGAGACTGTCTTCGCTCGTCCGAAGTGTCGTCACCGTGCTCGACGTTGAACAAGATGGGAGACGACCGCGAGCGTCACTCAACTTCCAAGCATAAACGCAGTAGAGACAAGGATGATCACAAAAGCAAGAAAAAACACAAGTCCGAGCACAAATCCCACAAACGCAAGTCTCACACAGAAGCGGTCAACATCACGGACGATGACGCCAACGACGATGATATGTGGGTCGAGAAGAACATTGACAACGACGGAGAACGGGTGCGTATGTATTTGTTTTGCCTGCGTGGCGCTGACATGTTTTGCTCATTAGCTTCTCGCAACGGATATTCCAACTGCAGAGAGCTTGAAGATCACGAGTCATGCAACTGCCGGAGAGGGAGACCCATCGCTGCCACCTAATTTGACAACGGAAACGAGACTACAACGTGACGAATGGATGCTCATGCCATCTAGTGGTATTGCAGAACCTTTGAATTCGTCGAGGCCATCTGCCCAGGGGTTACCCACAGGAGACAAGACTTTTACAGAGGACTACGGCGAATCCTCTTCGAGCCAACGCACACCTGCCGGAGGTGTCGATTTCTTTTCTTCTCTCGGCACCGAACGCAAGCGACCACCACGACCTGACAAAGCTGATCCTGACAAGGTACAGTACCACTCCTTCTGTCTTCATACATTAGCCGAAAGTGTACTTCCAGATCAAAATCAGCTCTAAAGAACTCAACCAAGACATCCGTACTGGACATTCAATCGATAATGATGTACCTCCCCCACCTTCAAAGGTCACAACCCCTGGTGGCCCAGGCTCTAATTGGCGCATGATGCGTCTTCGGCGCGTATACGAGACCGCAGCAGAGGAAAACAAACCCATCGAAGAAGTTGCGCTCGAACGTTTTGGTACGCTGCAAGCATTTGAAGAAGCCAAAGAAGAACGGCACATCCTTGACGAACGTCAAGGCAAGCGTTCAGAACGGAAGGACGAGAGAGGTCGAGGGCGGGAGACTGGCGGGGAGAAACGGTTCATGTTTACTGATGTTGGTGCGAGCGGCGCTTCGTCGCGTAGCTCGTCCTTCAGACGTCCTGGATCAGGTCCAACAGGAAGTACCCCATCCACGCCATCCCCCACCAATCCGCCTGCGAACAGGCGTCTCGACTCTCTACGTTTGCCCTCGCAGGCTGCATCGCCACTCGCGCAGTCACATACGCCAATACCGAACGTCATGACACCGTCTATGGCGTCAACGAGCACACGCCGTGCTATGTCGCCTTCATCGCTGAACAAGTTACAAGCTCAGGTTCTGCGTGCAAAATTGATGAATGCGCCGAATGCTGAGAAACTTGAAGAAGAGTACGAAGCAGAGGTGAGACGGGCGAATGGTGAGGAGGGAGGAGTCAGGACGCGCGTGGAAGTGCTACCGACATTGGATGCCAGGGGACGAATGTACGATGTTGGCTATGGCAAGGATGACGCAGAGAAGGGGCCCGGTAACAAGAGGAAGAAAGAGAAGGTAAATTTGCATCCTTCAGCACCACCCCGCTGACTATATGCTGGTTAGTTTGAAACGCGTGATGCGAAGACTGGAGAACTTCTCAGGTATAATGCTGATGACGATGAGATCACTCTGGGGGAAATGGTTAGGCATGAGCGATTTGGAGCGGGAATGGCAGACCAAAAGAATTTGGATGCCCAATTTGCAAAGGCTATCATGGGAGATGGCAAGTTCCAGGTGCGGAAGTTCTAACAACTTCTGGGCTCCTCCTGACACTCATAATACTATCTACAGAACGATCTTGACTACATGGACGATAATGCGGAACGACTTGGGCGGCAGAAGATGCGAACCGACGCAATGAAACGACAGTTTGCTGTTCACGGTAGGTTTGCATCCCCTATCTTAGTTCTTGATTCCGAACAATTCTCCTGATCAGACTACAAACGTACTCAAAAAGCCCTCGCAACATGCCAGTTCTGCTACGGTGAAGACGATTCCCCTCCAAAAGCACCTGTTGTGGCGATGGGCACACAAGCCTACCTCTCTTGTACGCTGAACGAGGAACTTCTAGATGGACATTGTCTCATCGTACCTATACAACATCACCTTACAATGCTGGAGGCTGATGATGACGTCTGGGACGAAGTTCGGGTGCGTAACCACCACTTTTTACATACAAGAATACTGACACATCCCATAGAATTTCATGAAAAGCGTTATGCGCATGTTCGCTGAAGAAGACAAAGGAGTTATCTTCTACGAAACCGTCATCTCTCTCAAGCCGCAAAAGCATACATGCATCGAGTGTGTACCGCTCACATGGGACAAGTACGATGACATTCCAGCGTACTTCAAGGAGAGCATCCTCGCATCTGAAGCAGAGTGGTCGACCCATAAAAAACTTATCGATTTCTCCGCGCGGCCCGGGGGGTTCAGACGCGCGATGGTGCCGAACCTTCCATATTTCATGGTGCAGTTTGACTATAAAGGGGAGAAGGGGTACGGGCATGTTATTGAGGGCACAGGAGAGTCTGCGGCGACTGGTGAGGAGGATGGGGCGTTAGATGAAGGGGATAAAGGTGGTGGGGATTTTCCGAGGTGTGTCTTTGTTTTTTGCATGCTTGATGATTGGTTGCTGAAGGTACTTGCAGATATTTTGCGGGAGAGATTATTGGGAATGTGCTGGATCTTGATCCACGTCGGTGGATGCGACCACGGAGGGTTGACTATCGGCATAACAAGGATCGGATACAGAGGTTCAAGAACATGTATGAGAAGTTTGACTGGACAGGGTTGATTGGGAAGTCGTGATGCATTCGTTGACCTTGTTTGTTATTCTGTTGCCACTGTGTTGCATTGATATTATATATAGTTGGTATATAGTAAATGTTTGTGAATTTCTTCGTCACATGAGTCGGAACCGGGAAAAGATGATACGCTTCAAATTCTCTCACCGAGATCCATACACCACACTCCCTGTGAGGACCACTTCATACATCCAGCTATGATTCCAGCTCATGAACTTTGCCAAAGTATATCGCATCATGATGGTTCAACTCCCAGCCACGTTCACCTTCGCCAGTCTGCACACACTTCATCCAGTATAAGTTCGGCTGGAGCAACTCACACTACAGAGGTCATTTCGTATGTTGTCATACATAATCTGAATGGTGACCTGGTTAGCACGATAGAAGATAGCATCCAGGAAGTCTCCAACTCTATTGTCAGGCCAAGCTGATGTCTTGTGCTCGAAACACTGACCCGGCCACCTATACATCAGCGTCAGTGCGAGCAAAGGATGGAGGTAGATTTTGATGAACGATTCAGGTGAACTGAGGACCTCTTTAGGGGCCTTCACGAACCTGAATCATGTGCTGGAATGATGCTTGTAATAACACAAAAACATACATTATATGCTATAGTCACATCTCAATGACACAGCTGGTGTACCCATAGAACTTTGCTACTCTTCAAGGGTAGACTTCCGATTCTTCGAGTCTGTATAATGATATGGAAACGGACATGCGGCACTTTCTGCGAATACACTGCTGAAATTATTTCCTTCCCCTTCACTCAATAGTCACTTTATTCTGAAGCAAAGCTATAATGTTAGAGCGGAAGAACCCCATGAAGATAGCCTTGCCTTGTAGAACGCAACATGATCCTTGATATGTGATGCTTTGGTTTTTGGATCTGCGTAGTACCTTGGATGATAACTTAGTAGGCCAGCCCGGCCTGGCAGATACACTTCGACTTACCATGCGATGTCTTTCACATTGTCACCATGAATCTGTGCAGAATAGTATGACGCTGTCCTTCAGGGGGGATTCCATCAAAACAAGTTCAGCGCTGAGCAACGGTCAACGAACCCGGGATGCTCACCCTTTCCAAGCACACTCAGTGCTGACTCGGAGCATTTGAAGTTAAATGTGTATCAACATTATATCAACAATACTGCCTTACCTTGTATCTGAGGGAGCGAGGAGTGATTTATTGACAGACTCAGGGGGGAAGTAATAGTTGCCTTCCACCATGACGGGGCTGGAATCCTCGGCAAGTATTTCGTCTCTGTAAGTTGCTTTTACCATGATTTAAAATTTAACGTTTATGGGCGCTGTGATTAAGTTGTGTTAGCCTGAGATAGTGTTTGGATTGGGCCAGCTGCTAGTGATACGGCACCCTCACCGTGTCAATGGCGCAGGCACTCACATGCCAGATAGTTCCAACCTTATGCTTATCAGTATACAAGATCCGGGCTAGTACTGTTGTAAGTAGCTGCTGTGCTGTGGAGTAAGATCAAAGTCGGAATTTGGTGTCGTTTGGACAAGGCCGCCAGTTAGTAGATGACTCGGCAAAATCCGGGTGTGCAAGGTGTCGGCTCATGGTTGGGTTGGTCAGACTCCTCCCTTCGGTATATATATTGACCACGCCAGCATAAAGTCTAACAGCGCTTCGAGCGACCCCCTTCGTGGGGAAGAGATATGCAGACGCGAAAAGCAAAATGGACCGCAAACAGCATGATCGGTGCGCTATAACTACTGCATACGCTCCATTTTCTGATAATATCGGCTTTCCGCATACAGCTGGTGCTGGAGGTGGTCTGGTTGCCAGCATCGCGACCTGTCCGCTCGACGTCATCAAGACCAAGTTACAAGCGCAACGTACAGTCCAAGGGCAGCAGGGTTATCAAGGAGTTCTCGGTATGTTCTCCGGCCCCTTCATCTCCGTTCTCATCTCCCTTATCATACCTGACACCCCCCTGCAGACATCGTTAAAACAACCCTCAAACATGATGGAATACGCGGCATGTACCGTGGTCTTGGCCCCACAATCTTGGGGTATCTTCCAACAATGGCTATCTACTTTGCGATATATGACGGGATTAAGACGCGCTTCGGAGAACCTCCGCTGGGCCAAGTGCCGAAACATGACCGAATATACCCTGCTGCACAACCTAAGGGCTACCAGCCCGTGATGCGCGACCACCCATGGACCCTCCACATCCTTTCCGCGATGATCGCCGGTGCTGCGAGCACAACCTGTACCAATCCACTATGGGTCATCAAAACACGTTTCATGGTATGAGTTTTGGTTCAATATTAACTACCTACAACCCAATTCACGAACTTGCCAACCCTGGCTCATGCATGCGATAGACACAATCAAGACGAGAAGTTAGATATCGACATACCTTCGATGCAGCTTTCGCAATATACCGCACGGAGGGCATCCGCGCATTCTACCGCGGGCTCCTACCCAGCCTTTTAGGAATATTTCATGTAGCCGTCCAGTTTCCCCTATACGAAAAGCTCAAGATGTGGGCCCGTGAGTAGCAGCTACCTATTTTGCATCACAATTTTGAAAGAAATGCAGAGGGTGACTCCGATGAGCCGCTACGGAGCGACACGATATTGCTATGTTCTGGCATAGCGAAGATGGCTGCATCCATTGCGACGTATCCACACGAGGTTGTACGCACACGGCTGCAGACGCTCCGATTACCAATAGCTGAGGATGCATCTTCGGACGGCATGGTGAAAACACATGCACGCCGCGGAATCATTTATATAACACGCAAGATCATTCAGAAAGAGGGCTGGACGGGTCTTTACAAAGGTCTTTCAGTCACCCTGTTCCGAACGGTGCCAAATAGTGCCGTTACACTTTTAACGTGCGTTAAAGACCGTAGCACAACCTCACTCTCCGTTGACATAATTGCCAGATATGAACTGCTTATGCGTCACCTTACGGTTCAACAATGAGATATAATTGCACCTATTGCGCAATTGTATATCGGCATTCACCTGCCTCAACCTAAGAGGAAACTGCTTTTTTGAATACGATGAGTTCAAGACTGCATTTAGAAAGACCTTTTCATGTATAGATTTATAACTCAGTGTATAATATCAATATCATCGTGGGCGCATTCCTTTTACCTCGGGTATCATTCGCCTTCCTTTTCTCCGTCCCTTCTGTTGCAGTAATATCTGTGTTATAATCGACATTTTAATTGGCCGGGGCCACATAGCCTTGCTTGGCGTCCTCCCACTTGAAGATGTGACCATGTCATTCTCATACTTTGCCAGCGGACAGTGTGTGTGTTCAATCAGGATTAGGTTCAAGTTCCACAATAAAATAGAATGATGCGCCTCTTTCCCTTTCGTTAAGCGAGGGTTCTATTTCAGACGCACCCTTTGTCCGGCGTGTGTATGTGAAGAGAGCAATGTAAACGTACACCCTTGCTGTTCTAACCGGGTATTTCCCGAAAAAGAGAACTTGTATGACTGAGAGCACCAATACCAAAGAAATAAAAGCCATACCCCGATCCAGTCCAAATCAAGGAAACGTCCGTCTCCCTTCCGTATAAGATCCAGACCGGTCAGACTGTATACGCGATGTTTGTGATCGTTTCATCATCATCATTATTAAAGGAGAATCTGCCTAGTCATATGGTAACCCAGATGGCATATATGGTCAACAAGGTTTTGGCACGAGCAAAAAAAGGAAAATGAGGACTGTAAAGATGTATGAAAAAGCGTTCGAAAAATCCAAGTGTGCGTCCGTCCTCCCTGAGTAAGGGGAGCGTTCGTCCCAGCTGGCATGGTCCACATGCATGCCGAAAATTGATTGTTGGAAAGAGCGTAAGCAGTTTGAAGATGAGAGGGCATGTGATTCGTGGGCGGCATACGGGCAGGGGTGGGAATACGTGACCCGTCAAGTATATGCAACCACAGCTGTGGGTTGCAATATGTGGGTGCAAGGAGTGGTAAGACGGTGTCCGTGGGGAAATACAGGGCAGGTGCTGGGAGTAGGAGCAGGGTAGGGAGTAGGAGTCCGAACGAAAAGTCTAGTGCGACTACCAGAAATTACCGAGAACCACGATAACAACGGATGTATGGTAAAAAGCCAGCCTTGCAATGAAGGAAAAAGGTGCGGTGGAATGGAAAAAGCGAAGACTACAGAAGTGGTGTTATGCGGGTTAGAAGGTGCGAAGTAAACGGCGACGAAGGTGGGACAACAATATGAGGGCTGCGAAAGGTATCCGAAAAAATATACAATCAACGTTGAGAGGTCGAAAGTGAAATAAAGTAAAGTAAAGCGCACAAAAAATCCTAGTGATCTTGCACTGTATCACCAGTCTCACTCAGAGTTTCCACTTTAACTCCCCGTGATGAACTGACACTTCGTATGTCTCGTCCTTCTTCTGCTAATTCACGACTCATGATCGCATCATCTCTGTGGTCCTCGGCCTCCTCAACAGTGGGACCTGCAAAATCAGGTTTGCGCAATGCTTTCCTAAATGCATCCGCCATGATGGCTGCATCGGCTCCTGAAAATGGACCGGTATCGCCTGCAGAGTGGGCCCGTGAGATATCGGATGCACCATCCGGAGATACGATCGATGCAGGCCGATGCTGTTCTGATGATGTCCGGCCAGCCACCGCACCCGCTATCCCAGCCCCCAACAACGGTAGTTGAGGAGAGTTGGAGTTCTGGGCATTGGCCATCATCGGAGACGAGGAACCTATGGACCCTCGATTCGAGAGCTGTCCACGTCTTCGTAGACGGCGCACGATTAACCAAATCAAGACACCACCAGCTACGATGGCGAGAAATCCGAGTACCACGATGACTGCTATTGCCCAATGAGGAAAAGGTGGACTTGAGTTGTTTGACTGAACATTTCCCGTTGGAAGTGACGATGACCCAGATGCATGTGATAAAGATGCTGATGACAGAGCAGCCGCAGATGACGATGCGGCGGCGGCAGATGACGATGCGGCGGCAGCAGATGACGATGATTGCATAGACGAAACAACAGCATCTGCATATGTAGTTTCTTCACGAACATGTTAGTTGGGACATAACAGATTGTGCGATACAGACGCACGAATAGCCAGGAACGTTGGATTTGTGGTGTAAGTGCCATTATCCAGACCATTCTGATTGGTCACTACCCAGTAAAATGGGTATGAGAAATTCTGCCCTGGCGTCCATGAAGTGCCCTTGCTTCCGAACCAAGTATCATTCACTTCTGCATTGAATTCGCCGGCACTGGTAGTCGGATTTGTTTCTGTGAAATTGAGAATGGCGGTGTTCGTATCGGCATCAAACAAGTATAGCTGGACAATATTGAACTGCGAAATTTGCGGCCGTCTACTGTTCCCTGTTATCGCGTCAATTTCAATAGAGCAAAAACAAAACATGGAGATGCTCACAGACAACGGGTGCCCACTGGTGCTGAATCACAAGATTACCTGCGTTTGGATAGCAAGTCACCTGACTATTATCAGCGTATATTTCACATTCTGTCTCGGCATTCGCTAGCGTAACAAACACAAGACGTTAGCGCAGAATACGAGTAATGAGGGAGACGCGACTGCTCGCGTCCGGAACCTCGCATAACCACATTGTACACGCACCGAGCGCACTCTCATTCGAGATGATAGTTCCTTGTCTCCTTCCCAGTGATGAAGACCAAGAAGATCCTACGTCAGGTCTACTTCGCTTCAATGACGAATATGATGACGATGGTGGAGCTGTCTGAGCTGGCCAAGGAGAATTCTGGGATGGGTTGGGAGACATTGCAGGAATTTGTTATCAGGAAAGGATACAGTAGCCGATATTGAATGAAAGCCTGAGAGGTAACGGTTCGCTCGTTTCTGCAAGAAGAGGCGGAAAGTGGATGCTGGTATGGCTGGGAGGAGGTGGGATATGTTATTGGTTGCTTTACGACCTTGAATCTTGGGGGGAATAGGCCAATTAACAAGGAAGCGGGAGTTGACGGCCTTGTCAGCGTCAAGCGCAGCGACGACGACGTTCGGCGACGACAGCAGCGACGGGAATGACGCAGGGGACGTCGAGCAGGGAGTGAACAGAGCGAGCACTAGGTTGCAAAAGGTGAGTGTCCTGAATTCTCAAAGACCCTGAATACTCCCGCTTACATAATTACCCCCTTCCCTTTGTTCGCGCGCGGCTCTACTTGTCCGCGCGTTTTGGGAAATCTGCCTCGCTTTATTCATAAAATCTGATTCCCTCGGTGTAGCTCCCATTTACACTGCCATCTGCTACTTGGTTCATCAAGATATGATCATTTCGTTTAGGCGGAAGATTTGAAAGCTCGCCGTAGGCAACGGGTATTGTTAAGCGCGCGTTGATATATGAGAGGTGAGGTCATCATCACCATCACATGGAAGATAAATGGGTATACCGCAGTCAGCATCTGGGGACCTGGTAGCACAGCTCAGAGAGAGAGATAGTTTGCAACGTAAATCATACGACGTGTTTCGCAGATGCGGCCACAATCGGCTGCTAAAAGTACAACCGTGACAGGGCACAAAATTCCTCAGCTTTTAGATGTCATGATGTATGAAGTGCTGGTTCACATGCATGGATTAATTTGCAACACGGCGGAGCTTCACCAGAGTTACCACTCACTGCCATCTGATTTTGGCGATGCCACCGGAGAAACACTCATCTTGTGCAAAATACAGATTTTCACGCTGAGATCAAAGATGTTCGGATTACTGACAATCCAGGGTCGTGCAAGCAAAGACTCGAACGAAGCTGTCAGTGTCACTTGATCGGCAAATCGATGTGGGCTAAACTGGTCTTGATACCGGAAGAACTTGCCCTCAACAGTAACTCCGCAAAACATGTCGCAGAAGAAGTCGAGAATAACAGTAACTTGGTCCCTGTTTTCCGTTTGCATCCACGGAGGCAAACATCGACTCCAGAACAACCTTTTGATTGAAGAATGGACAGGGCCGATTGATGGATAAGTTTGGTCGTGATCATATGATGATTGTCAGTGAAACGTTAGGAATATCTGGTCAGCAGCGATAAAAAGAATCCTGAGTCTAGAAGCACGGGAGAACAAGTGGGGAAAATTACATACTTAGCTAGGTTACCCGGATCTCTCAGATATGAATGTGGGTCGAGGGAGGAATAAGTTATCGGACCAGTGGCACTCCCACAAAAGACTTGATCATTACATAATAATATGATTCTAGCGACTGAACGAAAAAACACTACTAGTTCCTGTGATCATCTTACATATAGGTCATCAGCTGGTGAAACGGCAACTTGAAGGTGGTCTTCAGATCGACGTGCGTAATTGTTGTCGTAAGACGAAAGCTCCACGTGCACCAAGGCGAGCATTGTGTTCTAAGTAGGAGAAGGCATTCATTCATCAGAGTGCGAGCCATCAGAGTCGACGTCCAACCGCTAGCTGGTCGCTAGCTTTGCAGATTTATCATTTCGTGTGACATGGCAGCACCAGACCGGGGTCACACACTTCTACTCAGCAGCTTGGGGAGGTCAAACACCATCAAGACTCCATTTTCGACTATCCAGGCCCTCATCGTCCACTACCTCGCAAATATTCATCCTTCTCCAACACCTCTCGCTGCCACTATTGTCAGCAGCCATGTATTCCTTCCGTTTTCGCATTCAAAACTAGAAGCTTTGAGTACATCTTTCCGACATGCAGTACATTCAAAACTACAGGTACTGAAAGCGGATTCAAACGGACTGTTTTCTCCGAGCTTAGATACTCAGCTCAACGTCTGGTCCCTTGCTATCTTTCAAGGTCTCGAAGGTGGAAACGCCATTATACGATTAGCCTGCTGCAGCGGACTTCTTCTTGGCCTTGAGGATATCCTGCAGCATTTACCAGCGAAGAAGCGAGACGTGAAAGGCATAGCCGAAGATGAACTGGTAATGACCTTTGCAGACGTTATTGACCAGTTCTCAACGTCTGATACATGGGGAAAAGAATTTCATTCTGCCGCTGAATCAGGTACGTGCTCAGTGCATCGGCAACTATTCTGTTGATGTGAACCCTGTTCCTATAGCTAATGCTCTGGCATTGTCACTCATCATAGCTTCTCAATCTCTTCTGTTGGTGCCCTCCCAGAAATTCACTGCGCTCCCCCTTTCTGTGAGTCCGCTTACGTGAACAGTTCGCTTATACTAATGTGCCAGCGATCAGCACCTATTAGGACTAATTATGCGCACCATCGAGGATGCCTTCGATGGTGGAAGATTCCTATCTTCACTCCAGTCTTCGTTATGTTCCAAAGCAGAATTTAAAATTCATATACCTGTCAGTGGCCCATGTATATTTATCTCCCTAAACTAACGTTTATACAGCAAGATAGTCCAATTTCAAAATCCATCAATATTGTATCAAATTCGATTTCGATGGCTCACATTGGTTCAATATCCAAGTTGTGCGCTAGAACCGTGTCGCTCTTTGTAGATCATAGGCCAAACGTCGCACTACCCCTAATCTCGGAAGCGTATCAGAAACTCAACTCTATCACTGCCCACGTTGAAGCCGACTGGCTTCCGACCTCGCTGTCTGGGGCTACAGGCCAGAGCTTGTTGTGTGAGAGCCTCGTTGGATTAATAACCGTACAGCGCTCATCCATACTTAGCACCAGACGCCAGGGAAGTTGCAACCGTCATATGGGCGACTTTGAAAACACTTCTTTTCAGTGTGATTATGATCACAGAAGCAGGTCTGTCTGCTTTGGTCTTCATCCCCTCCACTTCCGCCGTTCTACCATCGACTTCGACGCTCGCAGTAATTGTTCTGCAAGCGCTCTCACACCTGTCATTTGTTATCGCGCAGTTTGGTGGTTCAGGTCACGGTGCTTTCGATGAGCTCAAGAGGTTGTTTTACCTTGCACTGGACGTTCTCGGAAGTGATGTAATAGAGAGCAACAAATACGCCCGACACCTTTGTGTCGTCGAATCGGGCCTGGAGCCACTTCCGGCTCACCCTTCCTATCAAGCCAAAAAGGCCTTTGCGCTTTCAGCAATCGAACAACTTATTCCTGTACTTAACGAATTGACTATCCAGGAGCTTGTACTCCCTACGTGCCTTTCGTAAGTTTCATCCTCCACATATAAAGTGATTCACCCTTAACACGTGGTAGGCACCTGTCTGACGCTAGTCACCGCGAGATATTTGAATCTGCACATAGTGTCGTCCTTGCCATCTTCGCTTCGCATGCGCAGAAGGCAAGCGAGTCGACGTCACAGCAAGGGAGCAGCTTCACGAGGACAATCGTGCCGTTTTATGCCAACTGTCTAATAGACGTAAGTGGGTACGTCTTAATTCTTGCGCGTCATTGACCACGGTGGTCGTTCACAGAATTCAGTGCAGGGTAGGCTCAGCACGCTGCAACTCCGCTTAGCATTTGCTACTCTCGTTCGGAGTGCAGCGTCTGCTGCCGATTTGTCTCTTGCGTGGTTTTGCATCGACTGCCTTCTGGCTGCTATTGCGTCTACCGCCGAGCATGACGACGAGCGTAACCATCGGCTTCACCTGACTCTTATCTCGTGTGTGCCGTCGGTGCCATTGCTATTGCTCCCTCGCTTGCTGGATCCCATCCGTTTATTTATGGATGCAGCTCAAGATGAGAAGAAGAGGCAGGAACTTATCGACGCATTATTTGCGGAGATCAAGGAGCGTGTCGGCGATAGAGAAAAAGAATATATGATTTGGTGGTGGGGAGAGTTGCGGATGAAGTGGGCTCATACGGGGCCTGGTCGTGAGGAAATCCAGGGGGATCATGGTTTGGACGTTGATCTGACATTGACTGCACGACTGTGATATATTATCCTGATGTCTTGCGTACAGATTACTCAGATGACAAATGCTTTGGACCGTCGTACATAACATGGTTTTTTAATCGATGGTTTTAACGGGCCACGTTGACTGCATAGCAACAGCTATTCATTTGGTTAATTGTTCTGCCCCGAAGCGAGGCACGAGGATAAAAGACCCCCGGAAGTTTCCCTAAAAGACTGTCCGCCTGCGACCCCATCCTGGGTCTCAAATCTACTATTTTTCGGGTGTAAATCTGCTATCCCGGACAGACATGTCACATATCACATATGTGACACACTGACGAGATGTGACACAATGCACCAGCCCAATTAGTATGTAAGCCTCAGGCCTCAGAGTCCTTGTAACACTGCCATTCATTGAAACAGTTGGTGTTTCTCACTCAATCTTGCACCAAATTCTTTCAAATTTGATTCTCTATTATATTTTGAGAAACCCTCTTTCCAAATTAAGAGTGATCCAGGGAAGAAAAATTGTGATGTGCACAAGAAATTAATGTAACTACTGTAGAGATACACACCCAAGTGAGGGTATACTGTCATAATTATTGATACTAACCCAGGGATAGTAACAAACAAGTTTTCAATACTTAGCAAGGATCCTTGTCCCCCACCATTGTATGCATACATGCTTCTTGGTATTGATACACAGAGAAGGGGAGAAGGCAGCTGACCAAAGTTCAAACATACTGGTAGCTTCTCTGTCCCTTGTCCCTTTGCTTCTCTTCTTCAGGTCTAGGCTGACCTTTTTGGCACTTGGTACTGGGTAGGTGCAAGTCTCGTTTCCAAAGTGTGATGCTTACATAATTTTCCCATCACTATATGGGTACACACAGGATGGTACAAAGTGCAAAGTACGCAATTAAGATAAGAATAATGACACAAATATGAACAAAAATGTAATTAGAATACGGGAGAAAGATTATATCATCAGCCTGCCTGTCCCGTTACTCCAAAGTTTGAGACATTGAGTCTGTACTACGTGCAATAGACTCCATGATTGCGCTGACAAGAGCTTGCTTGTTTTTCAAAGTATATCTCTTTGGCACCAGAGGATCGAGTTGTTGATGGAGATTGGCCTGATCAGTAAGCACAGTGTTCAAGAGCATGAGAAATTCACTCTTGGACATCACCACCATGGCTATCCCATCCAGCCGAGCGTCCTCAGCAGCCCCCTTTTCAGTGCGCTTCTCAGTGCATTCTGTCTGCCTCCATCTCTTCACCGCAACTTCCTGCTGATCATGTTGTATAAGATCAGCACATCATTTGACCTCAAGACCCATGGACTGCCATTCATGAGCTTTCTGCATGGTGTACTGATGATCTACAGCTGTAAATGTGGCATCAATGAATGCTTGAGTCTCGTTCCTTTTGAATTGTGCTTGTGCATTGTGCGAATGCATTGATGTGAGTGGTTTTTGACATGCGTGAAGCCAGTACGAGCCTAGTGCACCCTCAATTGCATCGTTTGTTGATGCCATGAAAGCACTGTCATGTTCGGCTTTCAAAGATCAATTAATCATACCTCCCACCTCAAATTCAATCAAAAATCTCTCCCATGTAATGTGATGAAGGCCTCACAAAGATGAGGCAGCTTGCCCTCCTCTGCTAACTTGTGAACAGCTTCAATGGCACCAGGATTTTGCCATTCCTGTTCATTGAGGGCACCGAGTTCAAATGAGGCGTTCGAAGAAATCAGCAAGTGTGGGTTCTCAATAATAAGTTTGAGGTGATTCATCACCTCATTATGCGAAGGACCAAGATCAAGGATGTTGACGTTCTTGGTTCCAGGTCCATGAACAGATCACATATATGGGTGCGTGATTGCAGCAGCATACAAGGTGAGAACAGCCAGTTCAGTGAGTGTGGGGCCATTGTGAAGGGCATTGTACAGATTCTCCTCAATATGGCTGAAATTTCGTTTCTCTTTCTTGTCCCTGACCTGCTCCAGAAATGCGATGTACTCGTTGAGGTAAGTGAGCAACTTTGCAGCAGCTTTGCAATATGACTGATAACGAGTGTTGCTGGTGTCAGGGAATGTGGATAGGATGCCCTTGATTCATTCGAAATAGAAGCAGTGTGTGTCTTATTGTCCCTTTTTGTTGTCCTTGTTATTGAAAATTGCACCAGCAAGACTACATGTCTTGATGCCACCTTGGCCAGAGACTTCAAGCGCCCTTAGCTGCACCTCTGTTACCGTCTCCGATGGTTGATGTAATGTGGCGGCATTATCTTTATTGGCCAGTAGCATTGGGCACTTGAAACCATTCAGTTCCCAGGAATCCATCATTGTCATATTCCTGCCTTTGACAGAATTGAGATCCTTGTGCATACAGCACCCTGCTCGCACAAGAAACTCAGCAGCCCTCCACTCATAATCAGGTAACCCATCCACAATCCTATTCCTGACTTTCTCAGCTAAATCCTGCTTCAACAAGAGTTCATGAGTATCATGTTCATGCAGGGGAAGCACATTCCACATGTCGAGGCCACCATGTTGCTCAACAAGCAACCTTTGCAAATGTGCAAATGTGCAAATCCCATGGCTAGTGGTCCTGATATCTCCATGTCATGCAGAATAGCTTGCATTCCCAACTCACCCCTCCAGTTGTCATTCTTCCATCTTTGGATGAGCTCAAAGACCTTCCTCTGATCAGCTGAGTGATCTCTGTTGACGCCCTTCAATTTTGATGTGAAAATGACAGCAGTGAGTTTGGAGGTCATCGTTCTCTGAGCAAGAGGAGAATCATTGTATATTGATGCCATCTCGTCAATAGCAGTTTTCAGACCTTGCAGCTGTGTCTCGCTAGTATGATCCTTAAATAACTCGATACCAAAAAACTGGTTGCGCTGCTCTGGCATGGATTCATTAGGTCCTGTTTGGACAGCGAATATTATAATTCAATTCAAAATTCGACCATCATGTGACACTGCACGTGATGTATTTGGTGACCTAGATTCCGCCGACTGTTCCGACTGATTCTGATTATTGATTAACTTAATACTACTGAATTAGATCTTGCACTGCAACCATCACCGCAACTAAGCATGGACCTCGAAGCACAAAGTGACTTGCGTCGGAAACACAACAGTCTATCATGTAATTTGGTAAACGACAATGAATGTATCATGCATATCCACACAGCTGGCGCCGCTTCTGCTCCAACCAGGCACGTCTTGTCTGCTCATTTAATGAGCAGAAAAGGACCGCCTGGCTCTCATGATCCGCTAAATAGTTAGCGATAGCCAGCTGCTCTTCAACACTTTCAAAAAGATCGCTGTTAGCATATTGGTTGAGGAGGGCGATAGCCTGCACGAGCCCGGCCATTGAAACTTGCTGGGGTGGTGATGGTAACTGCTGGGGGGCTGACAGCCCCATGTTCTTCTGCATCTCACGAACTACAGTGACAAGATCCTTCATACTTTCCGCGCCTTCCTGCTGAACTTTCAGCGTTGCAGATGGAGGACGACTCCGTTTCGAGTGACTGGAGCCTGCAGCGCTTTCAGGAGAGAGTGCGCTATATTTGCGCTTTGCTCCACTAGTATCGCTGACACTTGTCCATGCTCCCACTGAGGAGCCAGCAGAGTGAGAAAGATAGGTGGATGGGACAGATGGTGAGATGGATTCCGGATCCATACCCTGACTTGAATTTGCACTGGCCAGTAAGCCTGTGTCTGGAGTGCGCATGGTGGTGAAATTACGGTTAGGGGTCTGGGGGACGATAAAGCCAGTGGTAGTAGATGTGGTGGGACTTGGTGTGGGATTCAAGTTGAGGGCGGCACTAGTACTGGTGGAATGGGGTCGGAAGACGTATTTGCCTTTCCCCTGACTAGAAACCAGCTGCTCCATAAGGGCGAGGTGGGAGAATCCTTTGTTCCTGAAGGGCTTTGCGGTGGGATGGTGCTGCCAAAAGAGATGACATTGAGTACATGTATTAGAGCTCCTTTGTACGATACTCACCTTGATGTATCTGACCCAGACATCATCATCTTTCAATGCAATACCTGCCCCATTTTCATCACTCCATGTGAATCCCGATGTATTCTTGATATCAACTACAGCATTATACAATGTTTTCAACTAGAAAGATATTGCACTGATGTTAGTGCCAGCGCCGATAAGAAATTTGAGTTCTTTTATGTAAACATACCGATGTCCATTTGTTCTTGCACACTGTCCCAGTCTTTACTGCACCCCTTTGATCAGGGAATTTCTTCTTCAGATCTTCTGCTGCTGCATTGAAAGCAGGTGCCTTGAAGCCACCATCACCTGAGGAAGAAAGAGCGCCCAGAAGAGACTCAAGCAATGCTGTTTCCTCCTCCTTTGTCCAGATCGCAGCAGCCTTGCGGGATGTGCCAGTCCCCTCAGCTTTCTTATCAGCAGGACCTTGAGACCGAAGGGAGCGTGTAGAACCAGTACCAGACTTATCAGACATTGTGATGGAATTAGTGTGCCACTCGACACGGTGAACCCGAGGTTCACAGCTGGCTTACGTGTAGTGTCACATGATGGTCGAATTTTGAATTGAATTATAATATTCGCTGTCCAAACAGGACCTTAAGGTTACTGTATGTGGGTGTCTTGTATGATATATGCCGAGAGTTCATATTGATATGTCTGTGTGTCGTACTATCAGAACTGAACGTGAGACCTGAATCATGGTAAGCCAAAGTTCTCCTCAGGGTCGAACATTTAAAGCTCACTTTTTGTCTGCATGATCTCATGGCCCAGCTGGACCTTGGCAGCAACACCTCCCTCCAGTATTGCTCACTGGACTGTTCATGCACTCATGCAGCAACTTCCAAGGGATATGTGAAGGGCTTTTAACATGGCTTGAATTATAGGACCCACAGATTTCTGTGCACAGCCAGCAAGAATGAGCCTTCTTGCAAGTGCATGAAATTGGGCAGTATAGGCACCCTTGTGGTAGAGTTGTCAGGAAGTTGAGTTTTTTGGCATGGTATGGCTTTCGCTGACGACACGAGCAAGTGCACAGGATGCACGATGGACATGCATCTGTAATGCATGGACCTTTTTGCGAGTCTGCACCAGCTCAGCTCGAAGGTGGGGTACTTCACCTGCACTGGAATCAGCTTGTTTTCTGAGTGCGGCAACCTGGGCAGTGTCCTCCTCTGTCAACCTCCAAAGTTGGGCAGCAGCCTGTCTCTGCATGCTTGGAATAACATCTCCCTGCAGCTTCCTAATCTCTGTATTAGCTTGAGCAGCAGCTGCCTTGGCACGGGCAGCTTTGCAATGCTCATTCCGTAACAGTGAGTAGTAAAGCTTGATCCTTTCATGTGCAACAAATAACTCCTTTCTTGAGGATGTAAGGCTTGTGTAAGGCTGCCAATGAGTCCGGCAGGGAATTGTGAACAGGAATGGTTAGAAAAGAGACGTGTTAGTAGATAACATGAAGAGAGATGAGACTAGAAGTGGAGATGAGGACTTTGGGAGGCTCTTTCAAATGATCTTGGAGCAGGGAATTCACTGTGTGATTTGCTGTAGGTATGAGTGTACATGGACAGTTTTATATACATTTTCTAGTAGCTTACTATGCTGAAATGAGAGTGAAGAGCATATGGCGAGTTCAGAGATATTGATGAAGGAACGGGAATCGTGGAATGAGAGCACAAGGTATAATAATGAAAGTGAGTGAAAGGAGATGTAATGAGTAGAGATAAAAGAAATGTATCCACATAATTTGGATATGAAGAGTTGCGCTCTTTGCATCAATGAATCATGTGGATGATGTCGACTGCATGGTTCGAGCATCATGTTTTGAAGCATGGTCAACATGTAAAGGATACACAATCCTTACACCACCTCCCTACTTTGAATATTGACCATCCTCAGTCGATCTTCCAACTACTTAAAAAAATGTATCATCATACTGTAGAGTAGAATAGAAAAAATCAGAAAAATGAATGGAATATGAAAAACGCATGTAGTCCGTTTCATTGTTGAGTCCTGTAAGTGCTTGCGCGCCGATGAACTGAGTGACCTCAATAGAGGTGGGGGAGTGTGGATAATAGGGAATAATGTGGAATGCTGTTTTGAAATTGCTCCATCAATTTCAGTGAGTCGATATGATCCACCTTCAGATTGTGACACAACGACCATGGGTCTGAAGTATCTAGGCTTGCATTTAGCGTTGGACACTGCTTCTATCTTCTTGTTGAGTACTAATATGAGATCTCCAGGTTTGAAAGCATAGTCCTGGATGGTTTTGGAAAAGCGGTGCTGGAAGTCTTTAACAGATGCTAACTGACTCTTGAGAAGACGTTTGTGTGCTAAGGCTAAGTCTTCGTCTTGTTTCTCCAACTGTCTGGCGTGAAGGGATATTAGGTCTGAAGTCGAAATGATGCTTGACACGGCGGGCAACATGAATGTTGCTTCTGTGATGTCGAATGGGAGCAGAGGTTCAAGTCCGTGTGCGAGGAAGAAGGGTGAATGATTGGTAGACCTGCGAGTAGTGACACGATTGGCCCAGAATACGTGTGGCGCAATGACAGGCCAATGAGTGATATCTCCATTGCACATTTTGACAAGGGAGTCGCGGATGGTTTGGTGCGACCTTTTGATGATTCCGTTTGCCTTTGAATTGTATGCAGATATTCAAATATGCCGGATTTTGTACTTTCCTGCTAACCAGTCTAAAGTCGTGATGAAGGGTGTTCCGTTGTCCGTTACTATCTCTTCAACTCCTCCCCATCTGCATAAGACTTCTTCGAATAAGAATGCCCCCAAAGTGCGTCCATTTTCCTTTCTAAGCATCCTCCATTCAGGCCAGGCTGACAGAGAGCAGCGTGCTTGCATGATGTATGAGAATCCGTGAGCGGTTGGCATGTGCATTAAGTCGGTATAGGCCTTGCGAAATAGAGGTGTGGGGATAGCAACAGTAGGTGGAATGACGACTTTCTCTGTCGATTGAAGCTGGCACTGATGACATGTCTTGATATACCAGGCGATGTCTTTATCTAGTGATGGCCACCAGAATCTATCAGCAATTGTATGACAAGTGGCATAAATGCCCTTGTGTCTGAGTTCGTCGTGGGCTTGCTGTAGGATGCAAAGTCAGTTGGTACTAAGGATAACCAGCTGGTGTCATCCTGCTGCTTCTTTGCACCATAAGCGATTGCCCTTGATAAAAAAAAATGATGCACATGCTTGATGAGATGTGTGTGATCATTGCTGGAGATGGTGGATGGGAGAGATAGGTTGCTGAGGTAAGCTTGGATGATGCGAAGTTCGTCATCTCATTGCTGAGAGAGTTGATCGGTAGGGATTTTAATAGTGGTGTCGTACAATTGACTTGCAGACTGCAGGACAAGCTGTGAGTCCACCTGGATTTCCTTGAAAATTCTTTCTAAGTCCTTCTCAACCCAAACTGCACAGCCTAAAATTTCATCTAACCATTCCTCTACTTCTTTGGAAGTCTCCTCCAATTTTTCATCGTCTGCAGGTGCTGCATGTCGTCGAGAGAGCCCATTGGGTCCATGATGCTTGTTGCCTGGAACATGCTGTAGTTTGAAGTGGAATAGGGTTATGCCTGCTAACCAATGATTGATAGCAGCGTTCAGCTGTATGTCCAGATTACTAAGCATGCCTTTGATATATTTGGTGTCTACTTTGACAGTAAAGGATTTGAGACCAATTAACCAGATTTTGGTGACACAGAGAGCGCGAAAGAGACCATACAATTCTATCTTAGCCTGGGAGTACCTTGACTCTCTATCGTTCCAGGTGATGGAGCCAAAACATGATGGATATCATTTGCCTTTGGACATTTGAGATAGGATCCAGCCACAGGCTATGTGAGAGGAGTTGATGGCCAGGGTGACTTCTTCTTGCGAGGTATAGTCTATTGGGCGGATGGCAGGGGATGAAATAATAGCACTTTTGATAGAGTCCATGGCCTGTTGTGCTTCGAAAGTCCAGATAAATGGAACATTGTTCCAGGTGAGGTTGGTGAGTGGATGTGAGATGAGAGCATAGTTCTTGATCCAATTCCGCACAGTGCCTGCAGTTCCAAAAAAACCACGAACTTCAGTTCGTGTTGCACAAGGCGGCCAGTTGCTAATTTTTGAAACTTTGGATTTGTCCGGTATCTGCCCTTCATAATTGCAGAGTTGACTGATGATGAGAACCTCAGGAATGCATAAAAACAATTTCTTTGCAGAAACGGTGGCTCCCACATGTTTGAGATGATGCAGAACTCTATTTATGTCAACGCAATGCTCCCAAATGAACCTTCTGATACCAGGATTCTCAGAGATGAGTTCATACGAGCCATCAGATAGCTCGTATCATGTACAGGGTCCTAAGACATTGACATTGTCCTGGAAGTTGGGTGCAATGTCGATTTCTGCTTGGAGAATGAACACAACGTCGTTCTGGAATATGGCGGGAGAATCGGTCCATCCCTGGGGCAGGACTGTTAGATGATATGTGCCGAGGGGAGTTTGGAAGGTGGTGATGTCGCAGGATTCCTTTGCGAGGGCTCGATGGTCAAAGCCTACAAATAAGTCCATCATAGAATATATAGCACTGTAGAGACTCATGCCTCTCACTGTGTGGTATGGCAGTTTTCACTAGGGAGTACATGGCACGAACATGTAGCATTGCTCTGTATGCTATCCACAGCTATTCCTATATGAGGCACAGCTTTCCTGCGCAACATGCGCACGCGCTTGAGCACCCTATAGCACCAGCCATTCAGACACATCCATCCACTGTCCACCAAGTTCTCTAGTGCGTATATTTCCATTTGCCCTTATTTGCATATCATACCACCTTTATTCTTATCATGGACCCTTACTTACATATATCTTTACATACCTTACTCGGTAGCAATTTGGCTCTGTATGACAGCGCTTAGGTGCCATACTTAAGCACCAGCAGAACATACCATTAGCCACGGAATATATCCCAGACAACCCCCGAGTACTCACTACCCAGTTCCCTAGAAAGTCACAGTAGCAATCGATTCTCAGACATCCATCTATCTCACCTCACACCTCTTGTCTAGTATCTAATCATCACTTAAGCAAACTCACTCTTACTCTCTCTCATTTCCGCTCACGCACACCTGCGCTTTCCCGCGCTTCGCATCAGCCAACCAGTAGTGCCTTCAGCGCCTACTACCAGATCTTTGCTGCACTCGCTTCCCCTTTAGGGTCAAATGCACTTGTCATCTCAAGTATAGCAGACTAGGCAACACGTGACCTTACAACATTTATAGATACAGTCAGGAACCTTGTTTGTGCCTCGCAGTATTGTTGAACCTTCAGCGCATCCTGCGCATTGCTCTGTGAACAACTCTACATACAGCATTGATGCGGCATCCTTGACTGTAACAGAATTGAGCTGTTGGAGGTCATGCATGATTCAAATGGCACCGCTCTTCTTTGCGACGCAAAACCAGCGGGACTGGTAGGATGAGTTAGAGGGTTCGTAAACGCTGGATGCAATCTTGGATTTGATGAGCTTGATGACTTCCTCTTTGATACCAGGTGGAATGGGCGGCTGGTGGTGTACCCAAGGTACATGCTCGATTGTAGGGATGATTACAGGAGGGAAGTAGTCATCCCAAAAGTGTCCTTTTTCCAATTCGTCCCAAGCCAAGGCAAGTTCGTTGTTCTTTAGCACGAGTGCGGCTAATTTTGCTCTTCTGGCCATAGAAACTGGTTCTTGAAGATTCCGAGTTCGTCCATTAATCTTGGGATAAATGGGAGCCGGAATGGAATTTGGGTGGGTTTGGTGATAGCGGAGGGAGGGAGAGAAGTGGATCCTCTAAGAAGCATCGTACGATTCAAGCATAGGATGGCATGGTAGTGGCTACTGGTCTGACTTTATTGGTGACCTTTTTATAGGTGAAGGTGTGGCCAACTGGATTGATTTTGAAGTGCGCCTGAAGGAGGAACTCGGCAAAGGAGGAGAAAGTGAGACAGGATATGGGAATGGGTGTTTTAGAAGCTGGAGGGCTAGATTGCAGGATAGTGTGATAATTGTCCGTTGAGCTTGTCGGCAGGATGGCGTGGTAGATGTCTGTCAAGCTTGTCGGTAGGATTTGCGGAGTAGATAGAGTTGTCTGATGGATTGGCATAGCAAGGAGTGCGGTGGTGAGGGCAAGAGATGGATGTGGCCAAGGGCGAGGAAGAGTTTTGATAGTGCAAGTATTGGACTGGTTCATGGGATCTTGGATAGTGATATATACCTTGTCCATGTCTTCTACCTTCGCTAGGTGAACGAGTTTCTGCCAAGGTCATCCTAAAAGTAGTCGGTAAGGTGCATCCAGTACTACATAAGCGTGCGCCCAAGTTTTGATACCTTGTACTTCTATTTCCAACATCTCCAAGCACCCAGCCATCTCCTGCAAACTCCCGTTAGCAGTTTGCATTCACATGCGGATGTCCTTGTTGATGGGTGCATTGGTCTTTTTCCACACATCCTCTCAAATGACAACCATTTCTGATCCTTTGTCCAATAATGCCAGCTCAGAGTGCGTCCCATTCAAGGTCACTTGGATTTCTTGCAGTGGAGTAGCATGCTCTACCTGAGCAGGAGGAGCTGCGGGCGTCATTGCATTGATAGAGAGAGAGGTGGTGGCTGTGGGGACTCGGTGGGTGCGACAGTGTTCCACTGCCTCCTTGCATAGTTCTGGGCTGATGGCCAGAAGATCTGCAATCGTCAAGTTTGGCACCGTCATTTCCAGGATACCTTTGAAAATGCGCTGAATTGCATCGGGGGTTGCAGCTTTGGACTCATATGTAAAGGTGGGAGGCTTTTTCACTTCAGCTGTGGGGACTTTTGGTGGGGCTTCAATTAAGTGGGAGGACATGGGTGGTGTTGAGTCAAGCTTTGGATCTGGGTTGGGGATGGTGGCTGCCTTTGCCTTGGATCGAGTAACTGCATTGACATCTGATTGATAGTCTTGGTTGGAGTCGTCCTCGATGGTGACTACGATAGCATGATTTTCGACAATGGGTTCGCATTGCAGGAAGTACAATTCGGAAATGAAAGCCATGGAAGGGATATCAGAGGGAGGTTGTTGCACTGGTTCCTGACATGAGTTATTGACGAGGATGGCATTAGATCCTGTTGCAGGAGTCATAGAAGGGGGTGCAGCTGAGTACCTAGTGTCAATCACTTGCTTGAACATTTCATTTCTGAAGTGTTGAAGGCGAGATCTGTCCAGGAAAGCAAAATACTGTCTGTCTCTAATGATGTGTCCTGCCCATAGATATTCTCCCACGACTGAACAAGTTTGCATAATGTGAGACCCCCCACAAAAGAAGCAAGTGGTGTTTGCTTGATAATTGGAGGGAGGGAGAGGTAGATAGGGTAACAGAGTGGAAGTGGAGACCATACTAATGAGTTGACATGTCTTTGGGGTAGCCCACGCTTGAGCAGCAGTTGGAGCGATGTATGCTAGGCGCGTATAGCACACAGAGTAAGCGGCATCAGCGATATCCAATCCATGCATCTTGTTTGCTAATTCGTCTAGTTCGTCCATTTTTGATTTGATGGGAGGGGAGGTA